TATATATATATATATATATATATATATATATATTATTTTTTTTTGAACCTTCAATTTGTCACGCCATTTGGCCGATGACACAAACCGGCCCATGTGACTCGTCGAGCCACATCAGGCCAACTCGGGCTCCGGCCAACGCCCCAAAATGGGGCTCGACCCGAGCCTAGGCTCGCTCCATTCGAGCCGCGAGTCACCCGAGCCACCGAACCAGTTTGACATCTATACCTGCCCCACTACTCCTAATGAAGTGGAGATTCTGATTCAGGAACTTGAAGTGGAGAACGATAACGAAGTAGTGATAGAAAAACACCTTGAGGAAGAAAATCCCTTAACTAATTATAATCTAGCTAGGGATAGAGAGAGGAGACAGACAAGAGAACCTAAAAGGTTCGATTTTGAATTTGAATCAGCTTTCACCCATGCTAGTTACGAAGAATTAGCTGATAAAGAGCTAAAAACCTTTGAAGATGTGATAGGTAGTGATCAATCTAAGGAGTGGTTTAAGGCGATGAAAGAAGAGATGAGTTCTCTAGAAAAGAATCAGACTTGGGAGCTAGTACCTAGGCCTAAGAACAAATCGATCGTCAATTGCAAATGAGCTTTTAAGGTTAAGGAAGATACTAGAAGTTCGGAACCCTTAAAGTTTAAAGCTAGGTTAGTGGCTAGGGTTTACACACAGAAGGAGGGCGTTGATTATAATGAGATTTTTTCACCAGTTGTTAAGTACACCACTATTAGAGTCATGCTTGCCTTGGTTGCTCATTTTGACTAGAAACTTGAACAACTTGATGTAAAAATTGTTTTTCTACATTGTGAGCTTGACGAACAAATCTTCATGAATCAACCAAAAGGTTTTAAGGACAAGTCAAAACCTGATTACGAATGTTTTCTGAAAATGTCCCTGTTGGTTTAAAACAGTCACCTAGACAATGGTACAAGAGGTTCGATCCCTTTGTACTCACTATATGGTTTCAACAAAGTAAATTTGATCACTGTCTATATTTTCAACATAACGAAACTGATAGTAAGTATCTATTTTTGTTGCTTTATGTGAACGACATGCTTTGGATTGGTTCTTCTTCTAAGTGGATAAACAATATAAAAGCAAAACTAAGTGGTGAATTTGACATGAAAGACCTTGGTAAGGCTAAGAGAATTCTAGGCATGGAAATAGAAAGATATATGTCAAATTCCGTCTTGTTCTTGCATCAGTCTCCACACATATCTAAAGTGTTGAAGAAATTTAGTATGAGTGATTGCAAACCTGTCGCGTTACCTCTTGCTAGCCATTTTGTTTTATCTAAAGAACAATCTCTTTGCAACGAACGTGAAATAGAATACATGAGTAGAGTCCCATATTCTAATGTGATTGATTCCATAATGTATTTGATGGTTTGCACTAGATCTGATTTAGGCTTTGCTGTTAGTACTCTTAGTAGGTACATGGCTAATCTAGGTCCTGAACATTGGGAAGCATTAAAGTGGTTATTAAAGTACTTGAAGGGTACGGATGACGTAGGTCTAAAGTTTAGTACTAATAAGGAAGGTGTGAAATTGAAGGATTTTGTAGATATTGATTATGCGGGAGATAGGGATGGTAGGAAATCGACTTCCTCTTACGTGTTTACCCTATCAAATTCATGTGTTAGTAGGAAATCACAGTTACAACACATTGTTGCACTATCCACCACTGAATCTGAGTATATTGCTACTACTGAAGCAATTAAAAAGGCCTTATAGCTTAGAGGTTTACTTCATGAATTATGTGTCTTGAATGAGTATGTGGTTGTGTATTCTAATAGTCAGTCGTCCATACATTTATGTAAGAACCCTGTTTTTCACGAATGCACTAAACACACTGATGTTATATTACACTTTATTAGAGATATAGTATCTCAATAGGTGGTAAGACTTGAAAAGATTCACACACAATACAACCCTTCAGATTTGGGCACAAAAGGGCTACCATTGGTAAAGTTTAGAAGTTGCAAGGATCTTCTAAACATTAGTACAGGTAAATGATTTCCAATTTTATCGTTTTTCTATTAGAGGTGTCACTAATGGAAGACGTTTCGTTTTCCAGGTCCTTTAACACCAAGGTGGAGATTGTAAGGCAATTTGTTGTCGAACGACCTCCCCTGGATTATGATGTTACTCGGTTTAAGTTTTCAGTCGACCTAGCCAAATGACTGAACTAAAATCCAACACCACATTCAAGACGATACGACTCGAAGGTTAATTGGGCTACTCGCAGCAACCTAAATAATTTAATGTTGCTCGTGGCCTAATACACTTCCTTGGATGGCCATTGATCGAGATAATATCTTGTGAGCCCATTTAATTGTCTCTTGGACCTCTAATTTGACACATTGTTTAACCTACATATACTTACCTTATTTGGGCCACTTGATTGAGAGATAAATTGGTCCCTTTCTCTCATTTTGAGAGAACCCGTCGCTGCCTCTTATTCTTGGGCGATTAACTTGTTTTCTTCTTCCATTTTCTCTACCTCTTTTTGTCTATCATCTTAGTGGTGATAGGTTATGAAATTTCTTGCCCTTTGTGGTCTCCTAAGTGATATATCTCATTGGCAACCGAAAGTAAGCTTGTTATTGTCTTGGGTTCGTAGTTGTCGACTTTGTAGTGTTAAAAGTGGGTATAAACTGAGCCTAAGTTATTTTGGGTGATCAATATCATCACCTTACAAATTTTTATTTTTATTTTTTCTTTCTTTCTTAGTTATGTGCAAAACAGCAAAATTCATTCTATAAGGACAAATGGCCATTGCAATCTGTGAAAATCAGCCAACCACGTTTTAAGCAAAGAGAAAGAACACGTGTCAGAAATCAGAATTGGCACATATCCCAATTCTTAGATTTATATGTAAATCTATAATTCTTCATTTGTTTAACCATTTAACAATTGGATAATACTACATTACATTATGGTATCCTAATTATTCCATAAATAAAAATAATTTTTTTCTACTTTCGAGATACTTTAGCAGGACTCTCATGATCAACTCTTGCAAGGACAACACAGACACCCCATTCTCGTATCTCCAAGTCATGTTATTGTATCCTTGACCTCGCACTCTCGCCTAGGACTTTTCAAACCTATCTTTCTCCATTGCCGGTCCCTTTTGTCTTCTTTCCCTCATCTGGTTAATTGGTAGAAATATTCTGAGCCCGTTTGAGAGTTGTTTTGAGAATTGATTTTTTAATCGTTAGGAGAAAAGTGAGATTCACTTGTTAAAGAAAAAGTTAAATATGACAGCTGAAATAGTGAAATAACTGTCAAAAAATCAATTTTTTAAAAAAAAAATCGCTCCCAAACAATCCCTATTTATTAATAATTTTTACGAAGTTAAATACATAAGAATTGCCTAAAAGTTCAAAGTCGTGAATTCCCTATTTGAGTTACATTCTTTAAAAATATTTTTTTCAAACTCATTTTCAATTACACTTTCTTCAAAAGAAATAGTTTTACACGTAAATTTAAAATTTTTCCTACTTATTTATACAAAATTCTAAAAAATGGGGAGGAAAAAGGGCTGAGTAACTTATAAATATGGGACAATGATGATGAAGAAGAATAAATTTTGTTTCCCCCTCCAATAATTGATAACAACCTTGACCGTCTGGTAGAGCAACTAGGGTAGGTAAGAACAGCACGTGGAACTTAAGTCAATACTCTTGGAACTTTTTTTTTTTAATGAATATTTAATAACATAAAATTTACATAATTAGTTTCAAAATTGTCCATAATTTCAAACAAATCCGCAAGNAAATGTGATTGGAATATAGCTCGTTTGATTAAATTATGCTAAAATTTTATTAACTTTTTAATTGGTCTAATTTTAATTTTAATTAGTAATTTAATAAAATCTATAATTTTTATTAATTTTTCAATTATATATTATATTAGATTAGTTTCGTCAAAATTTATTAAAACTTTTAGGGTCCGTTTAACTGTGAATATGAAATTTATATAAAAAGAAAATAAATTCTAGACAATTGAATTGTTTAGAAATTATTTATATGAAAATTGTCAATTAAATGCATTTGATTAATTTATTTTTAATAAAAAAAATATTATATTTATCTATTTTTATTGATAGGTAGATGGAAGAGATGAGGGTAGAGGATGAGAGATTGAATTATGTGGAAAATAAAAATATAATCCTCAAAAAAAATATTTTTTTTGTCTTTAAGAAAAATATAATTACATAATCAAAAGTAAAATAATATTTTTTATGGAAACAAAATATAAATAAAAAAGCACACAAGTAAGAATTTAAATGAGAAAAATGACATTTTTTCGAGAAAAATAACAGTCAAATGCACTGTTGTAGAAGTGTCATAGAAGAACCCTAGCTATAAATTTGCTATGTTTTCGAGTCCAAAATCTCCCCAGACACCCATGGATTCACTAGCAACTTTAGGCATCCTTTTCGTCTCTCTTTCCCTATTCACAACCTCGCCGGCCGCCACTTCCGACTCCTCGCCGACAGTTTATGAGTTACTGGCGGAATACGACTTTCCGCCTGGTCTTCTTCCAAAGGGAGTCACAGGCTACGAACTGAACTCAACCACTGGCAAGTTCACAGTATACCTGAACAAAACCTGCAGTTTCACCATAGACGGCTACAATCTCAAGTACAAATCTGAAATCTCTGGGACCATTTCCACTGACAAAATCAAGGATCTGAAGGGTATACAAGTAAAAGTGTTGTTTTTCTGGCTAAACATCGTGGAAGTTACTAAAGATGGCGATGAAATTGAATTTTCCGTCGGGATTGCGTCGGCGGATTTTTCGGTAGATAACTTTTATGAGTCGCCAGAATGTGGTTGTGGCTTTGATTGTGATAATGGAATTGGGGGAAAAGCTAGCAAATTTAGGCTCAATTTTAGGCCATTTGTATCCGATTCCTAGAATCTTGATTAGGGGATTAATCTTGAGACTTAGAATAATTTATCATTTTTCTGTAATCTGTAGTTTATATTTTGTAACGATATACCTTATTGAGTTCAAAATAAAAAATAAAATATATCGACGTATTTAAATATTTTCATTTGTAAATGTGGTTGAGTAGACTTCAACAGAGTCCAGATTACAGCATCGAACAAGAGTCCAAATTTGTGATCTCACTCTCTATTGCAATTGTTTTTCACAATAATCTACTCGAACAGCGAAAAAAACCCGACAAGGAACAACTATGCCAGCAACACAAAACAACCTACAAAATAGTTGCCACCGTTCTCACCGTCGCCACCGTAGACAAAACCACACAGGGCGGCGGAAACCCTTCTATCACAACGTACGAACTCCTCCAGTCTTATGATTTCCCAGTCCCAGAAGGCGTAACCCACTACGATCTCGATAAAGCCACTGGAAATTCAATACGTATTTTAAGGGTTCCTGCAGTTTCTCCCTTGAAGGCTCGTACCAGCTAAAGTTCAATTCCAAGATCAGTGGGTACATCTCCAAAGGTAAGCTGACCAGCCTCTCTGGGGTTAGTGTCAAATTGTTTTTCCTTTGGCTTAACATTGTTGAGGTTATGAGGAATGGGGATAAACTTGAATTTTCTGTTGGAATTGCATCTGCAGAATTTTCGATTGATAATTTGTATGAGTGCTCTCGATGTGGATGTGGATGTGGATTGAATTGCAAAGGTGTTTATATTAACGTGCCAAAAGGGGATTTTAGAATTAATTCATAAGTTTCTAAAGTCTAGCAGAGCTGCAGAATTCAGTTGGATTTATCGATTCTTTTTTCCTTTGTTTCGTTTATGATTTATTACGACTTCACGAATGTATAATCTTCCATTGTATATGTGTTTGATGAAGTATAGAGAGAGAACGAAGAGAAAAAATGGCGGGAATCACAATTGCATTTCTTCAACTGAAAATTCTAGAGCTTCTGTATAGACTATCAACATATATATACACAGTTAAGAATGTACAAAGACTAAACTACCCTTACAAAATGATGAAATTCAATAAGCCCCCTCAAGATGGAGAATGAATGTTCAAAATTCCCATCTTGAATAACAGGGACTTAAACTGGACTCCTTCTCACGGTTTTGTTAACAAGTCTGCCAATTGCTCTTTTGACGCCACATGTAAAGTCTTCACCTCACCTGCTTGCACCTTATCTCGTACTAAATAGCAGTCGATTTCGATATGTTTTGTACGCTCGTGAAAGACTGAATTACTAGCTATATGTATGGCTGACTTGCTATCACAGAACAACAATGCTGCCTTAGTATGCCACACCCCCAAATCACTAAGTATATTCCTCAACCAGCTGAATTCACACACTGCTGTTGCCATGGATCGATATTCAGCCTCGGCTGAAGATTTGGAAACCGTGTGCTACTTTTTGGATTTCCTGGACACCAGCGAATTCCCTAAGAAAATGGAATACCTAGTGACTGATCTTTTAGTGTCTGAACATGCTGCCCAATCAGCATCACAATAGCCCTCGAGTGTTAAGTCGAAGTTTTTGGCAAAGAAAAGACCTTGCCCAGGTGTGCCTTTCAAATATCGCAACACATGGTATACTGCTTCCAAATGCTGCTGCTTCGGTGATTGAAGAAACTGGCTAAGTGCCTGTACAACATAAGATAGGTTAGGCCGCATGATTATCAAATATAAGAGTTTCCCCACCAATCTCCTATACATGCTTGCATCTGTAACATCCTCATCACCATCTTTGCTTAGTTTCAAGTTTTGCGATAGCGAGCTAAGAGCTGGTTTAGAACCAAGATAACCTGTTTCAGTTAGGATTTCTAGTGCACACTTCCTCTGACAAATAGAAATCCCATCCTAACTTCTAGTCACTTCAAGTCCTAAGAAAAACTTTAGGACCCCCAAATCTTTTGGTTTAAACTTCTCATTAAAACCCCTCTTAAACTCCTCACTGTAACTTAGATCATTCCCTCCAGCAATAATATCACCCACATAGATGAGAAGTACGGTAAATGAACAACCCTCCTATTTGCTAAATAAAGAGTAATCAGACTTGGATTGCTTGAAGCCCTGTGAAGTAATGTATGAAGACAGATTAGTATTCCACTGTCTGGATACCTGCTTAAGTCCATAAATGGACTTATGCAATTTACAAACCAACTTTTCACCGTTCGCCCCCTAATGTACATAGCCTGGAGGCATCAATATGTACACCTCTTCCTTCAATTCACCATGAAGAAAGGCGTTATTAATGTCAATTTGATGCAAATGCCAGTTCTTGTGAGCAACAACAGCAAGTAGCATTTTCACCGTGACTAACTTGGCTACCGGTGAAAATGTTTCCTCATAATCTAAGCCAGCTTGCCGAGTGAACCCTTTGGCCACTAGCCTGGCTTTTTTTCCTTTCTTTAGTGCCATTTGACTTAAGCTTCACTTTGTAAACCCACCTGCAAGCCATTGAGGTCTTATGGACAGGTAAAGGAACAATGGACCAGGTATTGTTGGCTACAAGTGCTTGATATTCATTGTCTATGGCTTTGCACCAATCTGGATTGCAAGCTGCCTCAACAAAGGACCGAGGCTCATGAATGTTAGACAACGCTAGCACATACTGCTTGTGAGAACAAGATAGTTTCCCATAGTCTAAGTAATCTGAGATGGGATACTGTGATCCAGAACCATTCACCATGGAATTTGATTGAGATGAATGAATCTGAGACACCATGCTGCAATGATAATCATGAAGATAAGAGGGAGCTTTCTTGAGTTTGTTGGATCTCTGAGTGAAAGGAGGTGAAGTAGCAGGTTGTGGAATGTCTGAGGTGGGGGAGATGTTCTATGGGTAAGTACTATCTGAAGTAGAGGGGGAGGTAGATTGGATGATAGTATCACCATTAGAGTGTGAAGTTTTTGAAGAATCCCCATGAATAGAAGATTGTGAAGAAAACAGATGATCTAATAAAGTATCATCAGAGTGTGAGTGAAACGAAGCTGGAAAGATTGGTTCAATAGGATAAGATGACGTGTTGGATGTGAAATTGGAATTGATGAATGTGGGATGATGATAAAGAAAGATAAGTTCATGAAACACCGCATCCCTTGAAATGAATGTCGTATGTGTCTGAAGATTGTATAGTTTATAAGCTTTCATACCGTAAGGATAACCAAGGAAAATGCAAGGTATGGCTCTAGAATCAAACTTTGTATGGTTCCTTTTTAAGGTGGAAGATAACAAAGACAGCTAAACACTTTAAGATGATTGTACGAAGGCTTGACATGATAAAACATCTCATAGGGAGACTTATTCCCAATAACTGAAGTAGGAATACGATTGATGAGGTGTGTGGCAGAAAGAATGCAATCACCCAAAAATCGATGAGGCAAGTTGGCTTGGAACTTAAGGGCTCTAGTAGTGTTAAGTATGTGCTGATGTTTACGCTCAACCACGTTGTTTTGCTGTGGTGTTTCTACACAGCTTTGTTGATGAATAATACCTTTATCATGATAGAAATCAGGTAAGTTGAATTCCATTCCATTGTCAGATCGAATGATTTTTATGTTGCATCGAAATTGTGTTTGTACTAAGTGATAGAAAAACTGAATAATGGACTTAACTTTGGACTTCTCACGCATGAAAATGTCCATGGTACTCTGCTAAAGTCATCGACAATAGTTAAAAAATACTTAGAACCATCTAAGGAAGAAACAGAGAACGATCCCCAGATATCGCAATGGATGAGATCAAAGATATTTGATGATCTTGTTTCACTATTGGGAAAAGGCAGTTTATGTTGTATGGCCAAAGGGCAAATGGAACAATGTAAGTTTTTATAAAATGTGATGGTTGGAACAACCTTGTGTAAGAAAGCCAATTTTGAAATAGGGATATGCCCTTAACGACAATGCCAGATATCAATTCTATTTTGAACATCAATGCTGCTGGTTGAGTTACAAACAACAGAAGCTGATTTATTACATTGTAAATCTGAATTAGTATTAAAAGAAGTAGCTGGGATTGAGAGAAATTGTTGATGAAGATTTGGAAATTGATCATTGCACTGGTACTCAGCATGTTGAAGGTGGTATAACCCATCCTCAAGCCTACATATCCCAATCGTCCTCCATGTTGAAAGATCCTGAATGAAATAGTAGTGATGGATTAGGACCTTGAAGCAATTGTGATGAGTTATTAGCTTACTAGCAAAGATCAAATTAAAATGAAAAAATGGCACTACTAGAACATTCGTCAAGGTTAAATTATCACACAACTTTACTGTCCCAATGTGTGTAACAACAACAGTGTCACCATTGGGCAGTTTGACAGAGGCTTTAATTCTTGCATTCACCACGGCCAGATGTTCAACTGAGCAAACCATATTCTCTGAAGCCCTTGTGTCCAGAATCCATTTGTCTGCCATTATGGATTCATTAATACACAATTGATTACCTGAGAAGGCAAAAGCCTCTGGCACCTGGTGAGGTGAAGGAGTCGGTTTTGGAGGCTGCTAGTTGCTACTAGCATTTTTCCCTTTCAGCTATGGAGCCAGCATGGCATGAATTTGTTGGCATTGTCCTGGAGTAATGGTGATGTTTGATAATGACCTGATGGCTTCTGGACTGAAATTATGAGATGATGAACCAACAGTATTACAACTGGAATCTTTCCTTTGGCTAGCCTATGTCCTGGAGGATAGCCAACCAACTTGTAGCATTTGCTTTTAAGGTGTCCAATCATTCCATAGTGGTTGTACATAGGTTTGTCCTTCCTTTGTAGATGATTAAGAGAATTCGCTCGTTGATTACCAAACGAGCCACGAGCAATTCTTCCAGCAAAAGCAGCAGCATCGAAACTCTGCTCCTTCTTAGCAACTATCTCTTTTTGCCTTTCATCTTGTAAAATTAGAGCAATCACTTTATTAAGTGAAGGCATTGGATCCATCAACAAATTTGACTCCTCACGTTTGAAAATTGATCATCTAGTCCCATTAAAAACTGCATGATTTGATCCTCAGATTTGTAATCAACATTATTAGTACTTGGCCTATAATTGTCAAGCTCTTCCCAAAGTCCTTTGAGCCTATTGAAGTACGAGTTT